ATACATCCCTACAGACCTGTTTCGTGGTTGCCCACTCATCAGGGGATTTTAATGGCAGAATAATGCGATACCATCGCTTATATATTACACTAATTGCTAATTAACATGGTTTATGCAGTGTGAAAAGTGTCAAGTCAGCTGTTGCGTAGGAGTGCTTTGTTTCTGTGTCGGCAGGAAGTAACGAACTCGAACTCCTACGCAACAGCTGACTTGACACTTTTCACACTGCATAAACCATGTTAATTAGCAATTAGTGTAATATATAAGCGATGGTATCGCATTATTCTGCCATTGAAATCCCCTGATGAGTGGGCAACCACGAAACTAGTCTGTAGGGATGTAGATGTAGTTGTTTTTTTCCGACTACCACACATTATACCCGCTCTACTATTTGTATCGAGCACTGTTTCACGGACACAAGTTTTCATAAAAATTGCGAGGATGGACAACTTCTGACGTCAAAAATATAAAAAATTCTAATAAAAAGCGTTTCAGTCCGAGACCTTCTTCAGTTATTTACAACTTTTGAAATAAAAAAAGAGCTTTAAATAAGATCGAAGTGCTAATGATTACGTAATTACAGATAACGACTAATGAACTGGTGCTAATAAACAAAAAACCTAATTAGAAAAAAAAGCGACGGACAAAATACAAGAAACAAACCCTAAAAACTAAGAGATAAGAATACTAAATATGTTAAAGTGAGTCAGTTTGAATTGTTTTTCGTACTATACTCATGCGTATTGAGCACTTTCTAGCAGCATCATGATTTACGACAATTTCCCACAATTATATATATGCATAAAAAGTTATACAAGTTTGCTCAAATAATATGAAATATCATAACAATATATTATTAATCAATTATAAAAATCTATCCCTATTTACGTTAAATTTATTAAGGTAAGATTTGTTAGTACTATTCTTAAATGATGAGAAATGTTCAATTGTTCTGATATCTAGTGGTAGGCAATTCCACAGGTTTACAATACTATTGAAGAAAGGAAACTTAAAAACGTCAGTTTTAAAAAGGCCTTTCACCAGTGTAGCTTCACTATTTCTGATGTCAGTATTTGGGTGTCTTAAAATTTACATATGACAAAACATCGAAATTAATATAACCTGTCAGGCACTTAGAGAAAAAACAAATATCCAATATCTCTCTTCTATATTCTTAAGGTAAAAGTTTCAGTTTGACAAGTCTCTCAGGATAACTTAAGTCAATTTTCAGGATGAATTTAGTTGTACGTCTTTGTACACGCTCAAGTGCAGTGATCTTTACTTTAGTGTAAGGTGACCAGACCTGTGAAGCATACTCCAGCTGTGATCGGACAAGTGATTTGTATAAAATTATCAATGTTTTCTGATCACATTCATTGGTACAGGTTCTTTTGATCATTCCCAGCATCTTGTAGGCTTTACTGATGATGACGTCAATGTGATTATTCCAAGATAACTTGGTAGAAACATGCATACCAGAATCTTTCTCAGTTGTAACTGACATAAACTGCGAGCCATTAAGTGTATAGGTTGAATAAAAATAAAAAAATGTTTTCCTTACAGGTCCAGAGGAAATGTCGGATGGACGACCTTTTCAATCACTTTAGGCTCTGCTTCGGTTACCCAGCTGAGGAAATCTGCCCAGTGAAAGCAGTGAAACTGTTGTGCCGCTCACTTGAGGGGTATCTACATTTACAAGTTCAAAAATTCGTCTCTTTCCTCGTCCTGAGTGCGTGTAACGTAGGGATGCCTTAGATTAACACCACTTGTTCCAGTCCATTGGAGTGTCGATTTCTAACGAAACGCGTGGTTATTCTTCTTTCATATAAAATATCGCTACGACACAGCATCTGGGATCAACGTGGGCCGATATCGCTCGTCCAACCCCAAGGCAGGGAGGCGAGGTGAACTGCCGCTAGTAGGAGTGTCCGTCGGGTGTCATGTACCCACCCTTTCGTATCATTCATCCCTAAATGTCTCTGTACAAGTTTTACCTGTTCTTTTTAATTAATCTTCTGTTTTCTTAATTCAATTTTTTGTCATTTTTGAAGTGTGACACGAGCCAAGATGTTATCATTCAGACTATGGAAAGGATTGAAAACATTTTTATTTTCGTTTCTTATCGATTGCGTCGGCTCCCCGTTCGTGGCACCATTTTTATAACAGCTGTTTCTTTCATGCGTAATAATCTGTGAAAGACAAGATTACTTGACGATAACTAACATTCCATTCACACCAAAGCTTAAACATTCTTAAAAGCTGTTATTTTAAACACGGCTTCAACTTGTTTTGTTTTGTTTTTTCCTCATAGAAGCCGCTTAAACCGATGTTTGTCGACGTCAAATTTAGCACTTTGAAAATGCAAGCTAGGGACCTTTTGAAATTTTTGGGGTAATCCAGTTTTTCACCCGTCTGGTTCTGGTCTTCATTCTGTTAAACCCGGTTTGACGGATCATGTTTTGCTGGTGTGAATGGGTCATTAGTCGTAGAATTTTATGCACCTGAGGCTTAAAACGGTCTTAAAGCCGTTATTTGGCACCCACCCCACCCCACCCCCCCTCCCTTTTAGTTAAACCCTTTTACTCCCAAGATCTGACGTTAATCCTCTCTTCCAGCTGCAATACATTTCCTTGTTAATAGTGTTATCTTGCAAGTTTGATTATCCCCATTACCTGTTTGCTGGATAGGGTATGGGTATCGAAGGGAGAAGCAACATGTCATCATGGCTAAAAATTGGCGGTCGCACTGTCGCCAGTGGCGAGTTACAATACTGACCCAGGGCCACCGAAAGTTTAAGGTTTGAACGCCCGATGCATGTGCGACTATGCTACAGAATTTCGAAAAGTTGCAATGTAAATTAGGCGAAGAAAAAAAAGTCAAAAACAAAAGTCAATATGTAGTTTAATTGGACTACCTTTCTCTTCATTTCTTTGCCTGGACTCAAAGGTCATCCATTTTAGTGAATTGTTAGTTCTGAAGTTGAAATTCCGAGCCGTTTTGACAGTGATTTCACGAGCGATCCACATTCACAACATGTAGACGCCATTTTGATTTTGTGATTGCACAGTTCCGAAGCACACGTTTTCGCTTTGAGAACAGACTTTACACCGAGATTTGAATATAGATTTGGGAAAAAAATGTAGAGATTCGTCCCCGGTTGTGAGCCGCCGCCGCCGCCGCCGCCAAAAAAAGTGAAAAGTGAGGAAGATGTCTCCGAAAGAAGTAAAAATTACGAAAAGAACAAAAGGCAGCGGGCATTTCAAAACAGCCGGAAGCAAGGGAGGAAATGGCTAGTTTTCGACGATAACGCGATGTTTGCTCAGTTTGCAAAGAGGCGACAGAAGTGAACCCTCAATCTAATTCAGAGGAAGCACTGCCTTCAGCTGTCGTACTGCCAGTAGACGAAGATCCAGAGGAAGCTCTTGATGCTGAAATAGTTGGTTGCACAGGTGATGAAGAAAGAGATTCTGGAGATGATGACAGTGAAAGAGGAAGAATTTGTTGATAGGCTTATCCAGAAATACCTGTAACCACAGTCACTGTATGCAAGAATGTCTTCAAAAAAAACCCCAGCTTTTTATACGATGATTTTTACAACAGGTGCAAATAAATTTTTGAAGTTACTTTAATGCAGTTTACTTTATTTACTTAAATAGATAAAAACGCTCAACATTTCTAATAATTTTATTGTGCCAAATGAATGGCCGAAATGTTAAAGAAAAATGTCTCATGGCATTATTGAGGGTATTGCCTTTTGTGTTCTTTCCTTTTAGTTAACTCTCCGTTAAAAGCCATGGGGTGTTTATTCAAGTTTTTCATTTTAAACTAGAGGAAATCGAGGGCTACTTCATTTTGGGATGGGCCACTAGGAATTCAAGGAAACTGGCCTGACTGGCCACCAAGCACTGGAGTTAATTTTTAGCCCTGGGCATGTTAACCACTTCTTGGGCTTAAAAGGTTAATGAGGATTGTACAAAGATAGCCAATTTTATTATTTGGTTTCGTTACTTTATGCCATCGAACGGTCCGAATGGCGAATTTACTCATTCTTGGTGTGTAAAAAAAAAAAAAAAAATGTATCAAATGAAGAATATTCTCAGCAGAGTAAAAGAACAAATAACAGAGGCGACCGAGCATTTTGAAACGTGGGGGAGGGGGGAGGGGCTTATCTTTCACCCAGCCATGCGCATACCCAGAGTCAAATTTTCCAAAATGTCCTTTGCGTCGTTCGTTGGCATAAGCAAACCTCTGCCAACTTTACAGTATGTCCGTAATCGATCTGTGACCGACTCTCATTGTCTCTGGCACATAGTAAATCTTTCAGCTTGGCATTCGATTGGGTGTCCTCAGACAAAATTAACTCGTCTAATTTCCTATAGACACGCTGTCTTGTTTAGGAGAACTGCTGCAGTTGATAAGCTTCTCGCACACAGGCCTGAGCTGTTCAAAAGAAGTTTTACAACCTATTGTTTCGCCTAGCGCGATGTAGATAAAATGATTTGTGAAAAGAGCTACGGCTACGCCACCCCTACCTACCCCTCCCCCCCATGCAAAGATGGCTGGTAGCTTTCCTTAAAAATTATACGTTTACTTCTGAAAAAAGAAAAAAAAAATCGCTTAGAAAGGAAATTCTACGTCCATCGATTTTCTTGAACCACGGGGTACATGTGTATGTTAGGATCGTTGAAATAACCAGCTCTCGATATTTTGTCTCGTCTGAAACTCATGTCGCTTTCTGGCGTTTTTTTCTAACTTTACCGTCCTTTAAATAAATGAGACGTTTTAAACACTCAATAGAGCACTAGCGTGTTAATCAATTTTGCTTTTTTAATGTTGTAGATAAATTATTGCCGTGGTTTAGAATGTGTTTGATTATTCGTCTCCTCTACAACCTGCGCCTCTATAAAGGTAACGATTTTGGTAATTTGCGTTTGAGAACGTACTACCGAGTTACATTCAACATTAATTCACAAAAACTGGTATTCTTTTTTTGTTACAATGTTTGCGGTTCTTTAACAATAGAAATCCATGACGAAAGACAGGTGACTTGAAGGTTTCAAGTGCACTAAGTTCCTGTGTATTCACGAGCTTCTTCCCTTTCCAATTCCTCGTGTAAATTTTTCGAGGGTTTTTCTCGGAGTAAAAGAGGCTCAAGTTTACCTCGATACGGGTTCAACTCTGTCTTCGCTCGAAGAACTTCGTCGCGTTTTGTACCAGCTGCTGAGTTAGACTTCCTGGGATTTCGCACACCAAATTTTAACTCCGTGGGTAATCTTTCCTCTTTCAAGAATTGCCTAGAATATAAGCGAAATTGGTTTTTCAAAACACCGTCGACCTGGGCTGATCGGAAGGCAGTGGAACAATTGAGGCGCCATGGAAGTATGTCAATATATTCTGGATTCAGCTTTTTCTTTAACGACGCTTCCAAGACTGCTAGCAGCATGTTTCCTTTCTCACCATTATTCACGTCATGTTTGTCATCTCTCAAATTGTCCTCAGTTCTTGAATTATCGCCTTTTTGTTCATTGTCACCCCGCTCTCTGGACGCTTTCACCCTCGATGCTGAAATTGTATCTGCTCGTTTCTGTTCACGTGCAAGACATACTCCTTTTATTTTTAAGTCTGGTGGCACAACTACACTTGTCTTAGGAGTCCACATTTGTGAAGAATCATTCTTACCCAGTTTCGATTGCAGTACTTCTGCCTTACGTATTACTGATCCTTTCACCGTAAAACAGGTGCGAAGACTCAGTTCTTGATCTCTACATGTTTGCCCTTTCCAATCCATTGTCGTTTCCTTCAGAGTTAGAAACTCACCGGCGAAAATCAATGTAACAAAGTAACATCCTTAGATACCAACAACATAGTTGTAACCACGACAACATCAATTCAGACCTTCATTCCGTAAATCCTTTGCTCTGTATCCTTGCTGTTATAGTTTAACATAATCCATTTCGTAAACAAAATTGATATAAACGGCAAATTACGTTTAACAGCTGTTTGTTTAGTAATACGATTCGGATATGTTCGCCTTTGAAGACCTTAATTAGCCAGTGACTTAACAACACCGTTTAGTCGCTCCATCAAATCTTTACAATGACTTTTTTCATTTTCAGCTTACCTGCGCTGCGTGGAAACACAGTAAACGTCTTCGCGTATGAAACATCGTTTTAAACAATGAATCATACTTCCGTTGTTGACTCCGGTTGTGAAATGTAAATTTGGCTTTGTTTTCACTAGGTAAACGAGATGTTTAGCAGGTGTTTTGTGATAGACATGCTCATGTCCAGGTCTCTGTTGAAAACACGGTAGCGCTCTGGCTGAAGGCAGGTGGAAACGAAAAGCATGAGTTGTAGAATTTTTTCTTTTTTAATCAATTGTAAGTTTTTGTAGCATGTTGTTCAAACAGAAAAGCGTAGACAAGAGAGCAAAGGAAACTCTGACTGAACGGAACACCGAAAAGAAAACAAGTGCGAAAAGGAATCCTAACAATAAAATTGTAGTAGCACTGCTCTCAAATTTTGAAATTTTACATAACTCGAAAGGGAAACAACTCGGTTCGTAACTAACCAGAGTGGAACTGAATTTTGGTCGTTAAGAATTAAGATTATGTAGGCAATATTGATGCGAATATCGAACCCTAACTCACCGCCATTTCGGAAACTGAGACCCCAGCCCCTGAGAACGAGGTTGTTTGGTTCTTCTGACTGCCAAGACTGGGAACTAATTGAGTTACTGTGGAACATGCAGGAGTATGTTTGGGGAAATAACGCTATCGTTTAACATAAATCTCTGAGGGAAAACGGCCCTCCAGCTTCACTTAGCTGATAAGGTACAAATATCTTCATACGCTCCCGTCACCTGAATTTAAAAGAAATGTTTTTTGTGGCTGCCAAACACAACAATGGCGAATGTTAATGTCCGCACACACACCGCTGGACACAGAAACATCTGAAAGTCGTGCAGGGATAAGGTACTTCTCAAGGCTGTTTTGTTTTGCATAGTTTTCCTTTTTTATTTGAATTCTAGAGACGCTTTTTGTCGATAATTTTATTTTAATCCTGGTAAGCGATTGTTCAATTTGTTTTAATATCATTTTAATACCTGAACGCGGGAAATTTAAATGTTTCCCTGCGAGCTCTGCTCTTAAATTTTATGGCTACATCCATAGCAGAAAGAGTAGATAGCTGTATCTCTGCGATTCTGTGGTATACTACCCACTGTAGACATCATACAAGATTGGTAAACGGTGTTGATAGTTGCAACTTAATTGAAGTCCTCTGACTTCAATTAAGTTGCAACTATCAACACCGTTTACCAATCTTGTTTACCAATCTAGTTTGCAGTACATAGCTACATAGTGTAGACACTGCAGGTAGCTGTAATTTATCTAACATAGACACTGATGGCTGAAAACATATGCGTTATTGACCGATTATGAGGTCAAGATGACTAGATATTGGCCAAGTTGTTTTTTCACGTTTTTAGGAACTGGGACAAAGTAGAGGTCCATGAAAATACATAAAGAAAACAAGGCAAACATCTAGCCATCTTGAACTAACAAGCATGGTCAATATAGGATAAATTGTGAAGCAAAACAAATTGGATATAATAAGGATCAAGAATAACTTGTTTACTTTGAGAGCCAGTAAAAAAAAGGAAACCTTGTTTGCAGCACCATTTAACATTTTCTTTGTTTTCTTTGTTCTTCTCCATAGTTATCACTGTCCAAAAACTACGTTGTAACATGAGTGTAAATTACAAGCAGTGTGTGCTTGCAGTTAAAATTTCTTCTGTTTTAACTTTTGATGATGATTTTTCCATGTAAACGATTAATTAATAATAAATTGTAAAATTTTAAGACTTAAAATTGCTCTTGACATATGGGCCGTGGGCAGTTTTGCTGTCTTTGTTGTCTGAAAGCATGGAGGACATATGTTTGATGAATGAGGTGTCCAAATTTTTCCCATCATATGTCCAAATGCAAGGAAAAAAATTAAGATTTTTTTTATTTCATAAATTTTTTTGTAGGATGGATGAAAACTGTGGATCATAGGTTTGCATATATCCTTACTGAAGATTGTTTTGTTGTGAAATCTAGCAGTTTGCTGAAGCAGGTAAATAAAATTCTGGTATAAGCTATACTCTGTTTGTAGTTCACTACAGATGTGTATTGTGCAGTGCAACTTGTGGAGTTTGATCTGCAAGTTTGATCTGCGCTAGTATTGTTTGGAATTGCCTACCTAGTCAGTTAAAGTCTAAGCCTAGTTACTCTTCTTTTAAGGCTAGTATTAAGAAATTCTATAAATGCATTGACCAAATTAATTTCGACTCAAACTCCACTGCTACCAACCATATCAGTGACGAATTTAAGTACTACTGATATCTAGTTTGCCATCTTGTTATCTTATTATTATTATTATTACAATTATTATTTATTTAAAAATTTTTAATTTAAATCTTATCTTTGTATTTATTTTCCTTTAAATGCATTGTTTGAGTTAATTTGACTGATACTAATATTTATATATATATATATTTACTTACTTATCCTACCCGTATATATAATGTATTATTGATACGTATGATTATTCATACTAGGAGACGTATATATTTTTAGCTGTTTATTAGTAGATAGCAGGTTCACATCAGCATTAGCTGCCATTTCCTCAACCTGCTTTACCAAATAAAGGATGTATGTATGTATGTATGTATGTATGTATGTATGTATGTATGTATGTATGTATGTATGTATGTATGTATGTATGTNGTCCCCTACGGAAACGACATCTGCTGTTTGACAATTCGTTTTGTTGTATGACGTTGTGGACTGAAATGCGCGCGATTCAAAACTGTTCTCGGCCGTTTCATTTAGCCCCCTATGCTCTGAGTTACCTTTCAAGATTCTGGATTCCTACCAGTACCCCATCGGTAGAGGCGAAAGTGTTATAATGAATCTTAACAACTACGGGCCGGGCCGCAGTTCGTTTTTTCTTGAAATGGAAATGTGTGAAGATGAGATTTAATACGTTGATTCAAACTTAAGTGAGAAAAATTAATAAGGTGCCACTGAATACCTGTTTGGAACCTGCACTTCGAAGAAATATACGACCTTGTTGTGTGCCGTGGAAGTCTCAATGTGACTTGAGGTGTGGCTTTCTTTGTTTGTGTCAGATGGACCTGAAAACAGAAATGGTTTGGAAACAGTTTGAGTTATTGTGCTGTTTCTTGTTTGCTTTTTTAAGACTTGTAATAAGTGTAACAATGGATATAGCTATTGTAATAATTCGGTTTTGATCCCATGAATCCTTTAAAGGATACAGACAGTTGTATCTTGTTCAATGGGTGCATGATGATCATTAATCGAAAATGGCAATGGCAGGGGCTTGACTAATCCAGATAATGGATTTTTGAATGCTTGAAATAATGCTATAGTCAGCCCCTGTACAAAAACATGTAGAGAGAAAAAGGAGACAGTTGCCAAGTTTCTACAATTTTCTTTTCCACCATCCCCAGGGGTGGATACAATTTCTTGTCCATGATGGCACTTTTCAGTTTTCTGGACCACCCCTGCAGTGAAAAAGAATGTTAAGCCCACCAGACAGAAATGATCAAATGGAAAGGCAATAAGTCAATTAAACACCCAAGTACATGCAAGTTCAGTCTGTAATCATTCAATATATCTGAATCAATATTTCTATCACCCTTTCAACGACTCAGTATGTTACCGGTATTACCAGTCACCCATCCAGCTACCTAGCCAGCCACTTTGCCAGCCTGTAAATACATCAGTCATCACATCATATTGTGGTGAAGGTGAATGAACTCTTAAACCTACATGACTCCAAAGTAGTCCACTTCTGTCACTTCATGGATTGAATCAGTTGAGCTGAATGCTGACGTTGTTACACACCGAAAGCCATCCCTCAAGACCAATGAACATTTCGGCATAAACCGTGAGGAGCTAGGACTGTCAAGGAAACATGAGGAAGCAATTTGTCCAGCCACAAACTGTGATTCAAAGAACCTTCAACCACACAGTCACATTAAGCTCTGAGCTCTACAAATAAACATCCTGAAACAGTTTAAGGTTAATAAAAGTTAATATTTAAACATAATTATCACACAATTCACACATTCAAATCAATACTCAAATGATACTGTGGGGAGAGGATGTGAGGAAAATATAATCTCTGCGAGTAATAATTTGTCAAATGTGGAAAGTACCAAAAAGCTGAAGTTGGCAGCTCACATTCCCATCAGTGTATTTCGTATTTGCTCAAAACGTATATATACGTTACATGTTTAAGTGGCAATCCTTTTGTTGACAATTCACATTGTACTACTCTTTTGTCATAATATGAAAATGGCCCCCTCCATTTATTTTGTTTGAACTTCTCAGATATCCTTTGAAATAAAATTGTACTTGGAAGACAAAAAATTTCAAGAAATTTTGCAATTTTGGCCACTAGTGGCCGTTTAGTGATTTCAGCTACTAATGGCCGTATTGCAATTTTGGCCACTAGTGGCTGTTTTGCAATTTTGGCCACCAGTAGCCGATTTGCAATTTTGGTCACTAGTGGCCGACTTATGATTTTGGCCACTAGTGACCGTTTTCTGATTCTGGCCACTAGTAACCATTTTTGCAATTTGGCCACTATTAACTGTTTTGCGATTTTGGCCACTAATGGCAGATTTGCAATTTTTGATTTTGGAGCTAGCATGTGAGTTTTGATTTTAGACACTAGGGGCTGATTTTTTATTTTGGACACTAGGATACTAGTTTTGGATTTTGGACACTAGAAGCTAGTTTTCAATTTGGATCACTAAGGTCTGATCTTTGATTTTAAACTCTAGTAGCCAATTTTTTATTTTGGACAGTAATGGCTGATTTTTTTTTTTTGGACAGTATTGGCCGAGTTTTGGCTTAGGACACTATTGGCTGATTTTCTGAGTGCTAAATCCATTACTATTATAATAATAGCAACATGTTAATAAGAATGAAATTGATGTTTTAAGTAAAAAACAACCAAGGTGTCCAGAACATTTAGTCCAAGATTGTCTGAAAACAAAAACTAGTGTTCAACAGATTCGCACTGGGGAATTAAAAAGGATTGAATCTGCAACAGATGAGAACTTAATACATGTAGATGTATGTTGATCAATTCAAAGCTTCAACATTCCCCCTACCAGGCAACCCCCCCAGGCACTTGAACTTTATGATTGGGTTTTTTCAAATTCTTACCCCACGGGGCAAAATTTGTGTTCAAATGCCCCAACCAAGTGCTGGATTTTGTTGTCATTTCTTTGTAAAAGGCAAGATAAGGAGCCATGACTTTTTTTTGTAGACCTTTTCTTCTGGGTCATCTGCTTGGGAAAGAGAACTTTTGACCAATAAACACCTCCTTATTAAAAGATAAAACATGTTCATTGCCCTGGAAAGACTTTCCAGTTCTGGTCAAATTCCCCACTCCACACGAGCAAGGTTCCAATTCCCAACTCCTAGGTATGGCCAACTGTAGAATGCCCATGGGCTGCATGTTGCCTTAGGGTGGGGGAGGAGGAAATGTCAAAGCTTTTAAATGATGGGCGCACAACTTACTTTGAAAGAAGTCTTTTTGATGACATCATACCATAATGTACCTTGTAGTTGACTTTTTGCACAGTTTATATCAAAAGGGAATGTAAATGAAGCTAAGGATTTCCTCAAATATTCAGCTGAGTGTTAAAAAGGCTTTTCCACAGGCTACCCACCAAGGATTGATCACAGGAGACAGCAATAGAATGTCCACAGGACCTGGATCCAAGCAGATGATTTATCAGGGATAACCACATGTGACATAGCAAAAAATAAGCTTAGTGTGTTTTTGCATTATATATAAATAAGCAAGAAAGCAAGTTTTGTTATTGATGGCATCATCAATGTCCCTGTCCTCTAATAAATCATAGATAAGATCCAATCAAAATGCATGATTGTATATAGTAATTCAAGTTATTGCTGTGCAGCCACAGGGTAGTGAGTGAGCAGTAGCATGATCAGGATTTAAGACAAATATAAAGGAACTGCGAATTCTCAATTTCATCACTTTTTATCAGAATGCATTGCATTTAAGTAGATAGCACTGTGCCACATTTACTGTGTTTGGTGTATTGCGTTACATAATGTTACTGTATGTAACGGTACCCAGTGGTCTTGTAAATTTACTTTCCTCAGTAAAGGCAAACTAACTTATTGCGTGTATACTATGGTAAATCTACTATCCTGATCCCCAAATGAAGGAAAGTTCAATTAGAGTAATAAAAGGAGTAAATTGATCAATGAATAACTGTACCTTACATAAGTTAACACGCCGGTAAGCCGGAAAGCAAGAGGTGTTGGTAGGCCTGTGCAACTTCTGCTATTCGCTAGGGCTTTTAAATCTTCTGCCCTCAAAGTTAACTTCTTATTAGGATACCTCTTAAAGACTCTCCTTTGCGGTGTGATAATGAGGGTTAGTTTTAAGATGTCTGTATAACCCCAAACATTTATTATGCATTCAGTCTCTGTCCCATGAAAACAATGGCAAAAACAAAACATTATCTTTTAGAATAGTATGGGGTTATATGGAAATCTTTCCGATTATCCTTACTACATAGGAATGGGCTAAAAAGATCCACGATAGCCCACATCAGGAAGGTGATTAAGCAACAAGTTATAAATTGTAACAATTTTTACATGTACACGTGGGATCGAATAACACGACGAACTATTTCTTTTCTCAGTCGGACGTTTGCACCCACTCACCAGTTTGCAGCTTAGTTTTTATAGATTACAGACAGGACCCAAAATCTTCAAGATTATCGCGCTCAAATAAAGGTTGTGATAATGACGATCATGTTTGTTCCTTTCCTCCAGTGGGCAGTTGACCTGACCTTCACACGTGGTCTCCAATTCAGAGTCTTTCATCCTTGTGAGGTTATTTTCCAATTCAAACACCATCAATTAAGAGTACAAATGTTCTTGAAGGTAACCGTTATTTAACCCGCTGTTTCTGCTCCTGTTTTGGGAACAGAATACGCAGTTTGCATTCACCGTTCTCAAAGTCTCCATAATGCTTAACTAGTCTCCAGTGTTTTTCGTCCAATGGAGAAAACGCGTCACGCAAGGCCCGTCACGAAACATGCATAAGGTGAGATGGATTAGTAAGAACGGCGAATGATGAGCAGTGACAGTGAATGATGTGCAGTGACGGCGAATAATGTGCAGTGACGGCGAATAAAGTGCAGTGACGGCGAATAATGTGCAATGACGCCGAATGATGTGTAACGATGGTGAATAATGTGTGATGACGATAAAGAATGTCCAACGACGGCAAATAATGTGCAATAATGGCGAATAATGTGAGATGACGGCGAATGATGTGCAATGGCAGCGAATAATGCCCAATAACGGCGAATAATGTGTAACGACGATGAAATAATGAGTAAAGACGGCGAAAATGTGTAATAATAATAATAATAATAATAATAATAATAATGTCTGATAAAAATCTAAAAAAGCTATTGGATACACGCTTCGGTTAGTAACGATGATGACAACAACAATAATAATCATAATAATTTGGTTCTCTAGGATCAGACTCGTGAGACCCAACAAAAACGACCTACTTATATAAATCGCGAAAGCAACTACTAGTTCGTATTGAAAGAATTTCAGAAAACGTGCATCGAAATTATCCTTAAAAAGTAAATTACATTTAAAAAGTATATGAGAAGGGAAATGACACTCTTACTCTAATAATAATAATAATAATAATAATATTAATAATAATAATTATAATAATAATAATATTTATATAGCGCGCACATCAAAAGCTTCTCGTGGCGCTTTACAATACTATAAAATAATTAAATAACCTAATGCACATAGATAAAATTCAATCAAACAGACGAGATATTACTAGTTACAAATTTTGAAAAGAGAAAGTCTTGATGTTCTTTTTAAAAATAGTTACAGAGCTAGATTTGCGAATTGAAAAAGGAATACTGTTCCACAACTTAGGTGCGTACACAGAAAAAGCTCTGTCCCCCGTAGGTCTTTGTCTTTGACACAGGTTGCACAAGATAGTCCATAGAGCTAGAACGTAAAGATCTTGATGATATCTTGATCTTGAGTAGATCAGAAACATATGATGGACAGAGACCATTGACAGACTTGTACAACAGCAACAGAAGCTTGAACACAGTACGATAACATATAGGAAGCCAGTGAAGCTGCACCAGTAAGGGAGTGACGTGATCAAATTTGCCCTTGCAAGGCAAGTGACAAATCGAGGAGCTGTATTCTGTATTTTCTGTATTTTCTTAAGTTGATGCCCAGGTAGGCCATAGTACAGATGATTACAATAGTCAATACGTGAAGTAATAAAAGCATGTATAAACTTTGAGGCACAGTCAGATAACGACGTATCCTGAACAGATTTCTTTGGTGAAAGAACGAGGTTTTGCAGCCGGATGATAATAATGATGAATGATGTGCAATGACGGCGAATAATGTGCAGTGACGGCGAGTGATGTGCAGTGACGGTGAGTGATGTGCAATGACGGTAAAGGATATGCAAAGATGGTGAAGTGTAATTACGGTTAATGATGTGTAATGACGATGAGCGATTTCTCATCATGGTGAGTAAAGAATAAGGACTTCCGCTGATGTGTAATGTTGCAGATATATTTCATGACATTAAATTACTTGTGATGACGTCGAATAATGTTGAATGACAATGAAAACCGTAGACATGATAACTCTCGAGAGAAAGTAGCTAGGACCATTCGATATGAATTGATGAAATTTGTAAGGATAATTGTTTTCGTACAAGAGTTCAGGTGACTTTGAGAGTCACCGCATTTTCCTTCGTCTCACATGTTTCTTCTTTTAAGACATGCAGTTGTCAGTCCTCGATCTCGCGCTGGACATGCAACGTACATTCTGCCAATCAGAGCACGTGCAGCTCTAAAGCACCTGAGCAATTATGTTTCATACAGAGAGTTCAGTTTGGTCCCTCGATTTTTCTTTTCATTATCTTCCTGGGACTCACTCATGATAGACGAATCGTACACCCAGCGAAAGTAATTTTGATCAAAATGATATCGAAACGCTGTGAGTGTTCGTTTACTTTTAATCTCGAGCAGAACGAAAAAGTGATTACGAGGAAACGCGCAACAAAATGTGCTAGAGAAAACGAGACAGTCAACAGATCCGAAAAAGAAAAAACTCAGAAAAAAGAACGGATGACGAATAACTTGGGCACAAACGGTTCCACCCGAGCTTCGTTAGTCTTCACTCGAGACAAGCAGACAGGTAACGGGGAACATGACGGAAAACGCCCCACAAAAAAAACAGAACTGAAGTGTCTAGGACGAAGGAAAGGGAAAGTGTTCATGATAGATCAAAATTAAAACAAATGAACAGAGGATTTCCGAAGAAGACGTAATGGGGCTGAGAGGTAACAGGCTACTCAAGTGAAAGGCGGAAGGACGCGAAAAGGAAATAATAGAGACAAAGCTAAGGGGACTGAGAATTCAACAAACTTTCAATACCTATTCTTGTTCATTTAATTATCACAAATCCAGACTTTTATACAGTAAAAATATGATCATGGTCTGAAATAAATTAGTTATAAATATTCTAAATCGCTTAAAATACGTTAGTATATTCCTTTTTCCGATTTCATTTTTCAAAAAATCGCTGAACAGTATTACTTCTGTAATGAAGAGGTTTTTACACTGCTTACGTTTCAATCGTGAACACGTCCGTTCCGATGCACTCCTTTGACTGACACGAAATGAGTACGTCTTGAGACATTAGGCGTACTGATGGCGTCATTAACACACTTTTCTCCAAATCTTTTCTAGGAGGGCAATTCGTTTCTTTACGAGCCTTCTCAAAAAAATCAAACGCTGCGGTGGCACTTTCAGGCGTATATTTCTGTGCCTACGAAGACCTTCGCAAAATGAGCGCGTCTATAGCAAGTTCCCTTGGTATGTGTTATTAGAACACTGTGAAGTTCACATAGAAGACGCTGATCATCTGAGAAATTTTCCAGCGCATTTTCGGCTGTTGAATTTTCGCTGCTTTATGTGGAGAATCTGAAAGTGTTTAATCTTCCGTAGGAATGTTCACATCAACTCCAAACTGTCGAGACATCTGCCTTAACTGTCGCTCGTACAGCACGTTCCTTTCAACAGCCTTTTGATAATTGTACTTCAAGTCTTCGATCTCTTCGAAAAAAGCAGGATCAAAGGCTTCGAGTTCCTTTCGTAGCTGAAAAGAGATATGAAGTTAACCACCTATAAATGTTTGTATCAAAATACAAATACAAAATACATGGTTCTCGCTGATGCACCTTACAAATGGCTATTACCCTGACTTTTCAATAAAACTACAACCTTTGGAAAAATTGGGAACAAATAAAACAATAAACGACGTCTCTACTTTTCCATTTCTGAGTTACCCTGAGGCCTCTCTATCAAAGCATGGCTAGGGTAAAACAATTCGATGGATTGAATTCACAATTGGATGTGAATGAAATGTAATTTTCAAATGAAAGAATGAGAACAAAGAATACCTTTCGGACCGAAAAAAATGTGTTTTCAGAAATATACTAATTATGCAAAGGAAGACTGCATTTTGCGGTTCTTTTAAGTTTTCAGAGTAGACTCCAAAGCTCCCACACTAGTTTTTCCCCATAAAAACTCCGCTTTTCCCAGACGACGATGGCACAATTTCTGATACAAAGCTCCAACAAGTGAGCTCCCAGCCTTTCCCAAGATGACAAGACTCGAAATGCTATGGCTCAGGGTAATTGCCTCGTCCAATCTATCTCATGTAGGTTTAGTACATACAAATTCACTGCCTTAGACCAACCTTAGAGACTTCGTGCGACATTCGATCGCGCTCCAACTCCACAGTTTTCAGTCTCGTTCTACCAGAAAAATCAGAAATCTACTGTTAATATATTAGATACAAAAACTGCTAGAGCATCAAAAAGATTTGTTCAGGTGCACATCCTTAATTGACATTTAACGAACGCATTGAACAAAAATCACATATAGTTACTGAGTTACCTCAGTTCCACATCATCGGCCATCATTTTGTCGTAGTTTCGTAATTTCTCCAGAACTTCTTCATTGTCCTAAAACATTAAGAGAAGAATGCCACATTTGAAGTAAACCAGGCGTGCAAAGTTCCCATCTTTAACGACTTTTAAAATCAAACCTCACAGCAACTGGGTCTTTGTTAAAGCAAACAGGCTGTGCTGATCTCAGCCACCCGCAAGGATTTGTATTATACTTAGTTAACACGGTCTTGCAATAACTGAATACATAGTTAGTCACGGTAAGTTGCTTCCAACGATCGACAAAAAGTAAATCCTTCTTCATTGAAAATCTAATAGCGCAGTTCAAACCTTTTTATAAAAGGAAGGTTTTCTTAACCTACTCAGAAGAAGACTTACCAAGTCACGTGGTAGATCACCTGCCTGTCCCATCTTTCTGAGTTGCCGTAACTCGTGTAAAATTTCTTCCTTCTCTGACTCGAGGGATGCCAACCGCAACCTAGACAACAACGACTACAAGGTAAACGATCTCGCAAGTAAAAGTACTTTTTCACAAAAGGTAATATCGGGAACAAGCAGTCAAAATGGAGGGAAATTTCAATTCAAGGAAACTTTTGGATTAAGCGGGTCGTATAGTAAACTACAGCCCGCTCAACTGCCCAATCATAGCGCTTGTACTAACAAAGAACTGAGGATGGCTCAGAAAAAGATTCACACTAATTAAACGAAAATTCAACGTCCCAGTTTTAACATCCTTACATCTAGCTGGCTAGCTCACGATTTACAGAGTTGATAGCGACAGCGTGCGATAGCACAGGTAGCCCACACAAAAATTGGAAATTATCAAGGAAAATACAAGGAAACAGTAAAGGGACACTAATTGCCACTTAACATCAATCACAAAAGACGTCGAAGACGATTACTGCAAAATAAACTCCATTATACTGCTTAGCTAGGGTGCTTCTCTAACTTTTTTCGAAATTGTGAAATCTAAATGTTCAGTTTGAGCTGCAGTCATCGAGAACTTAAGGTGGCTCGTACCGGTTTTCATCTTTTTGATGGTTTGTAACTTTCAAAGAATTCAACAGAAAGACTGACGAAGGCCAGTTGAACACTTTTACGGGGTTGAATTACATAATCATTGGTTATCCAAAAATAAGTGTCATTTCGTCACTAGCAGTTTCCATGGCAACGCTTTCATAGGCTTATTCAGACGCATTTTTTAGCTTGTGGCTTAAATAATTCGAAAACTAACCCGGTGACCCCCTGATTTTTTTCAGTGATTGCTTTTGGCACTTGAAAAGGAAAATGCACAAAGATTTTTAAAAAATTCTACGGAGCGGAATTTCAGAAAATCTACAAAAAGGGCAATTTTCACACATCGCAAATTTCCTTCCGTAGAATTTTCTATTTTTTTTTTTGATGATTCCTTTCGACGTTATTATCATATTGGAACAATAAAAAGAAGGGGTCACCGGACTTGTTTTCATGCAATAGCTTTCGTGAGTTTAGCAATTTCCACGCGCGTTCTCGCGCATTTAAAAATCTGGATTCTATAAGATCGACATTTGCTCATGATCTGTTTTAGCTACCGCTGACAGTTGCGTGTGCTCGCGCGGCGACCTACGATCTGATGTTTACAGACGTTTACTGCTAAGAAAATCATTAAACAGCCGTCAAAAACAGCCACCCGAACTCATCTTAAAAATCCTACTCATGACTTCTGGCCATATCATATTATTTTCCATGAAGTTTCAAAGTCTTCTTCCACTTCAGGTAGATTATCCTTCACTTAAGTTCTTCTTTTTTCGCCGTCGCAAGATTTCATGTCGGTTGAATATTTCAGGCGTGATTTCCATCGTGAATCTAGAGCCGCGCTTCTGCGCGGAACAGTTGTAGGATTTTCAACCGTTCTTGTCCTTTGTTCGG